TTGAAATATAAACATTAATATATGTGCATCCAATAAGGAAAACATTGCAAATGAGAAAAAAGAAAAATATATGAGCAAAATCTAAAATATATAAAGATAAATTAAAGTATAATAATTGCGTTTATTCGAGTTACGTGCAAAATAAATTATCATTAAGAAACATAATTTAGGTCATTATTATTAATATTAATTTCATTCGATGCAATATATTCTAAGCTACATGTAAATAAATTAAAATTCTCGCTGTAAATATTCAAAACATTATAGGATCAGTAATCATTATGAACAAGATCGTCATTAATAACATGTAAGCAGTACATAACATTTTTACTAAATCGTTTTTCATCTTCTACTTTTCTACATCTTCGTAACATGCAAGAATTTGGCTTCGAGTGAAAATTGATAAAGTGATATCGGAAAGAAATATTTTATAATTGCAAAATATAAAGGAGAAAGCGAGAGGTGAAGAAATATACGAATGGAATTATCTGTGGAGAGAGGTATGTGGTATAACAAATATCAACACAAATGAACAGTAACAGCGATGAATAATTTTACATGACGCCGTTAGATTTAGGCCCACAGTGACATGTCTATAGGAACAAAAGTCTACAGTTAGTTTATTATTACTATTATTATTAGATCTAATTATTAATTAGATTTAATTATTTTTAGATCAACAACTTTTAAGTACATTTCACCAGTTACAACATGTAAAAACGCATCGTTAACTCGTTACAATAATAAAAGAAGATTTTCGAAGCCTATTTTACTTGTCTAAGTATAACATTCAAAAAGCATGGGCCTAAATCGAGAACTAAACAAAATGTGCACTACACAATTGATCCCACTACTTTTTCTTTTCTTCAACTGACTTACTGCGACGGTGGAGCCATTTTTTCCGACACCACCGGCGAGAATGACGGATATGCTGCTCTGTGCAAGTAAAATAGCGATGCCCACAGCAGCCCATAACGGAAACACCTTCACCTCTGTGCCAGTGTATGGCAACTATATAAGAGCGACATGAAAGATCTTTTGATTAGTCGTCGGAAGCTACTTTCATATCAGGTCTTTCTAACACTCCATATCCCTGACATGTTAATATTACATAAAAGTCATAAATCAGGAGATACATCTGCTATTCACTTTTGAAACAATTTCGTATTACGCTTTCTAACGCCGTATTAATCACAATTTACTGCTACAAATATAAAACTAATATATACACAATATTATATATTACATAGTAAAATGTTCATTAGTAAAATGTCCATATTTTCTTATATTACATCATTCAAATTTATTATTTCTATAAAATATTTTTATTGTTTTTATGAATTCTGACTACTATTCGTCTTTCGTTTTTTATTTTGTTATCCAAAATATTTACGAATTATGAAAATTTATATAAAATTTTAATAATTCCTTTTTTTCTTAAGCAAATAGTTGCTCTCAATTTTCGCAATTAAAAGAAATAATGATGATAAAAGTTTTCAGAGAACAATAAATTTATCTATAAACTATAAAGGTGCGGAGTAAAGAGTTTGCTGCTATATCATGGAGATGAAATAAGTGATCAAATAAGTGCAAGAAATGGTGACGCGAGCTGAGAGCTGAGAGAAGATATAATAAAATGAAAATTATCACTGTGCAGCATACACAAACATATTGATATCTTTTTTGTTTCACATATATAAAGTAACACACCATCTTTTCTTGCAGGCATACTCCACAAAATGTAAACTACAGTATACATACAGTAAGTTCCAATCAAATGTGAATAATATCTTTATCTTACATAGAGATATTTTTATCTATTTATTTAAATTGAAACATAAAAACTGCACAGTAAATAAAATTTTTCTGTAATTAAACATGGCATTATAAAATCACGTATAATTATATATAATTGTGAATAAGATACTGGATTAATTAATACATCATTTCTCTTCTATTTGATTTTTACGATAATATGTTGATAAAAGCGTAATATATTTGAGCAAAAAGATTATTGAAGAGTTTGTTATATGAAGCGCGAATCGATTACACAAAAAAAAGCATTTATGTAAATTGTGCGAAACCGATATATCACTCTGATAGTTTAATATGTAAATAGCCATACATTGATGTTTAGTAATTCAACCGAGCACCTAATGTAAGTTTCCCATTGAAAGAGACCAATAGAGAAGATAGCAAGCAAAAAAAAATAAAAAAAAAAGAGAAGAAATGTACCAAACAGACAATTTCTACTATACAAAATGGCAAAAAGATATGAGAATACGGTTGCTTTAAGAGAATGCCATTTTTTGGAGACTTACTGCAATTGTGGAACCGTTTTTTCCAATCCCACCAGATTCAAAGACTTTACAGAATTCAAGGAACACGTGAACGTAGCCTGCATAAAAGACCATTGCTATGTAGTTACTGAACGTGCCTACACCGAGCACAGGGATCTAAACAAAGCGACAAGAGACACTTCGTTCGTTATGAAAATTGTTCGTTAGAATTGTTTCTGTGTGCGTGTATGCCTACATGTTTATGTACAAAATTCTTATAATCGTATCTCTCTTGATATTATTGCTGTACCGTTCTGGATGGGCTTAGTTTTATCGTATCTATTGCACTGCTACAAATGGAACATGCTTCTTTTTCATTGTGATAAAACTGATAAAAGATTGTAGCGCATAAGGAAGCAGCTGATTTGATTGAGTACGACGAATCGAATGTTAAAGACTATCTTGCCCTTATGGTTCGATATATTTCCAACGTGAAAGAAAGACAGTTCTCTTTTCTATTTGTTATACTTAATGTGCAAGTTTCGCAAGCTCAGTGTATTATCTATAGACAAATATATGTGTGCTCTATATAACATTTTTTTTAAAAGCGTAGAGTAAAAAAATGTAATGTATATTTGTTACGAATTATTAAGAAAATCAATTCATTTGTGTTAAAACTTTTATGTGTGCAACTATTGTATAAAAAGATCAATAATAAATTAAATTATTTTAGTTTATATATAAATTATTTTATTTTTATAAATACTTATATATATTATATGCAAATATAAAATACACATCGTGTATAATCTACTGTTGAATTATTAAATATCACCTACATTATTTATTGCAAAAATTTACATGTAACATACTGTTAAAATTCTTGGACTATTTTAAAAAATTCCTAGTTTTTGAAATTGTTTCAAAAGAGCATTGTTATATATTCATATAAAAGCTGATGAATGTAACATCAAAAGACATCACATAGAACAATGTTTAATTTTTATATTAAAAAAGATCATTTGTATTAGGAAAAGTTTTTACAATTTAGTGTTTTTTTACAAAGTATACTGTAACATCAATGATATTGTTGAAAACTTGAAATGCGAATTTACAAATGGAACAAATACAATAATCGGTCATATAATAGCACATATAATTCATCATGAAAATCGCAAGGTATAGGATTATTGATAAAATAAGAGTGTAAGGGGGCGTAATTTAGTAGGGAAAATACAAGTAAAAATGCATGTTAAAAATCAGTAAATATTTTGCAGTAAAGAAGTAATGTCAACGCCGCTCCTCATGCCATGCTGCTCCCATTTCTGCATGTTCAATAAAAGAGTTCTAGTTAACAGACTTACAGCCACAGTGGAACCATTCTTGCCCACTCCTCCGGTGAAAATCACCGAAAATATGGAATACAAATTTGCCAGTGCACACACCACTGTCATAACTCCTAATAAATACTTAAACATAAAACCATCTAAGAATGGTATCTGCAAAAAATACTTTTATTAAATGATATAAATAGTTATATTGTCTCGTTAATCTTAATATGTGTCATGAATGACAAGACATCTTCCAAGGCAAAATCTTTTGAATAATCTTTAAGTAGCGTAGAATATATAACTTGAAATAATGCTGTGATTTTTATGTGTATATGTATATGTAAACAAAATATTGACATAAATTATAAGAAATCGGTCTTTAGAGTGTAATGGCATCAATTGTTGTGGCATCAAATGACATGTATGTTAATCAATTTCTGTAATTAAGGATCTTGTCCGAAAAGATTAACATATATGTGATAAAATAAAATTTTTTATATTATTTATATACTCAAACGAATGTAATAAGAAAAATTTTGAAATTAGATTATATTATTCTAAAAAATTTACAACTTTTCTTTATACGGATTCTATAATGACATAAATGTGTGTGCCAAGCTATCAAAGTTACTTACCATAAAATATGAAACCACTAGTGACATATACAAATTCTATAATTTTGCGTATACTAGGAGTTATATTTTTTTAGATACAAAGATTAAAATATTAAATAATTCAATTTTATTGTTAAGAAAAATATTATACGAGCCATTTACAAAATTGAAATCACTCTGCACGACGTGTAAGCAACTACAATAATGTGTATAATTAAATGAACATCTTGCATTAGCGATAATTTAGAGTACTGTGATTATGCTTTAAAAAAAAAGCAAACGTGAAATACAATATTTCCTGTTTGTTAAATTATAGCCGTGCAAAAAGCTATGAGATGATATGAGACACGTTCTATCAATTGCTACACAAGATCCTTGCTATATGTAACACAAAAAGTAACATAATTAAAAATAATACAACCTCTATCATCCAAATTTGCGGACCAAAGATTGCGGAAATCAGATGGATTACAATGATCGTAAACTGTGCTTCTGTTACATCCACTTTACCAAATCTTAAGGAACCTATAAAAAAAAACTTAAGTAAATAAAATTAAATAAAATTAAATAAAATTAAATAAAATTTATACAAGTGTAAATTTTAATCAATTATACTGCGTAATTTTCATGTGAAATGATTGTATACCTGAAACGTAGGTCTGCCAATGAGCACAGTAGAAAAGCGTCATTGCGCAGAAACACTGGAAAAACATCCATGTTGGGTAGTATCCTAATTGTACTGCTATACACGCTGACAAAGCAACAAATACTGAAAATAGTATAGATATTAGCAGTTAAAATATTTCTAACAAATAAGACAAATAAAAAACAATATATTAATATACCTGTTGATATCGAGTCACATCCATGGTCAAACAACTCGCCCAATGGTGTAGATGTACCAGTTCTCCTGGCTTGCTTACCATCAATAGCATCCAAACTTTGATATATAAAGAGACCAAGTGCACATAAAAAACATGCCCATCTAGGTGCCTAAAAAAAAAATAACATATTAGCAAGTCTTATTATAGTCAGAATACTTTTAGATAAAGAATGATATTATCAAACTTATTACAAATATATATATTCCATTATTTTAAATTATATTTTAAATTATATTTAAACACATATCATATAAATAATTTTTAAGTTTGATAATATTCCAGTTATGATAATAATAACAATGATATAATTATATAAGAGCAAAACACTTAAATAATTGATGAATCATTATGCATTCATGTGATTTACATACTCTATAGTAATACAATATCTCTTCAATAAAAAGAGATTACAATATTTTATATCTTCATTTCATGGAAAATTCATCAAGTCAACTACAAACAAAGATGTAAAAAAAATCAAGCTATACAAAAAATACAATAAATTAAAATTGAAAGACAATGAGCCTTTAAAATTCTCCAGTGCAGGATTACAATAATATAAAATTGCTTTGAAGATGAATAAAACATTTTCTGATTTGTGATTTCAAATTTTCATAGATTTGAAATTTTCATAGAATTTTCATAGATTTGACATATCAGAAATATGTAACATGAGACAATTCCCAATACAAGATTTTTCTAAATTATAGCTTCTTAAAACTAATTAAAAGATCGTTTGAAACTTACACTTTAGATGATACAAGAGATACGTCAAATGTCAATACTATCACAACAGATAGCCTGTTTAAACAAGACCAGCCCTAGACATTCGATACTAAATAATCAGGGAGGAGCGAATTTCTTTTTCTCGCGATAAGGAAAGTGCGTCATAGAGATATATTATCACAGAGTTATACTCCAAGGATCAGGAAGGGCACAATTGAAAAACTTATTCAAATCATCATCACGGGAATAGCTGAGCTGGTGAAAAACCACCTAGCCTACCTCGGCCCTCGCGTCCGGGCTATAATAGACCAGGATCAGGGTAGTAACAATGTTGACGATCAGGCCAAGCACGGTGATGAGATTTGGCGCGAGCCAGAGTGGCACCTTGCTGACCAGCCAGTCCCACCACGGCTGCAGGAGACCGTCCAGAAGGCTGCTGCTCGAGCAACTGTACTTGTGCTCGCTCAACCGCTTCAGCTGGCCGGGCGACAGCAGCCTCTCCTTGTAGAACTGCATGCTGCGAATCGCGCGCGTCGCTTTGACGCCGTGTCACCGAACCGTAGGAGCCGAGGGTGGCAGTAGCAGGGATGCGACGAGGAGGGTGCGGGATCGAGCGATCGGTTCTCCGACGAGGACGCGACGACGGCACGGCGCACTATCACCGAGATCACCCACGACGGGAGGACGGTCAAACATAACAAGCGACCGTCGCGTTTATACGTACGACATTTCTGCCAGCGCGCTCCCACGACGACGACGATGTTAATTCACAGTTCGTTTCGCACACGCCACAGCCGGAAACTGACCGTGGCCGCGCAGCTGCCAGCGCGGCGCGCGCCTGCGCGATCGGAACGCGCGGCTTGATCGAATGCGCGCGCGAATATTTGAATATTTTATTCATGAGTTTCAATTACGCTCTGCGCACAATGGAAGAAATATATTATAGAAATAGAATATAGGAATAGAAATAAATATTAAATTTTAGAAATGAAATTTTAGAATAAAAAAATTAAACGTAACGCACAATGAATACAAGTAAGTATAAGATATCATTATATTCTATACTTATTTATTCATTGTGCATTACATTTAATTTTTATTTCGAATTTTCATTTCCAAAATTTTATATTGATTTTATTCTTGTTCCTAATATTGTTCCGTTGTGCGCAGGCCCTTAAGATTTATGCATAATAGGCAACAGGAACAGACAATAACACAAGCAATAGATTTCAATCTATCAAAAACCGTATATCAATCGAGGTATCAGCCTATTAATTCTTTTACTATATAATTTTTAGTTCAACTTAATTTTATAGTTATTAACTTTAACTTAACTTAGTTAATGAAACATTAACTTAATAACTGATTAACTATAGTTACTGCCTAACCTTGATTTTATATTTTATTAAAATGAATAGTTAATCATTGTTATTGTTTTATTATTATTTCAGAAACTCGTATTGAGTGAATTTTTTATCTTTTATAATTTAATAATTTTTAATCTCTTATATTTTGAAATGTTTTATTGTTGAAGTTTTTGATAAATAAAAATGTCTATGATTTAAAATGTATTTACTTTGTTGATTGATTTCACTAAAACCCCAAAATTTTTTAAATTTTAGATTTGGATCGTACCGATTTAAAATACAAACAATTAAAAACATCCTGAATACAAGCGTAACTAAAGTAAAATTCCACAAGCGAATCTTCAAAAAGTTCCCGCCGAGTATCTCTTATTGTCTATATATAGAAAAAAGATAACATTTGATTAGCGAGAAAGCTTTTAAGTTGTAATTTCATGCAGCGAAGCAAAGCTAGTTTTTATCTCAATGAAAAGTAGCATTGAAACGCTATCGCTTATTGTCTCCTTCTTTTTCAGAGCGAAAAAAAGCTAGCGTTTTATCCCCTCTATCTCAATGCAAAGCAGCATAAAAATTGATTGTGCTCCGATATCCATTGAATTATAATTGTCAATACATCGCACAATGGAGCAATATAGATCTATAGTGAGTATAGAGTTGCAATAGAGATTAGGAGATGACACATAATCGCTGCACTGGCTATGATGATACATTTGTTATTAATACATTACATTACATTTATTTTTACATTTATTATTATTTTTATTTATTTATTATTTATTTTATTTATTATTTTATTTATCTATTTTGTTATTCATACATTTATTTATTATTTATTTATTTATTTCGTACATCTTTCTGGCGCTGCCAAAGATGTCCCTTCCATAATTTTAAAATTCTATAATAAATATCTGTATATCTTTTATAATTTCTCTTTCACTTCACAACATTTTTCTAGCGTTTCTTCGCTATAAGTTCGATTTGGTCGAACTTTTCAGTATGCCTTCGCTAGTCGCTGTATTCATCGAAAATCGATGGAGAGGGGGTAAAAGTTAGCTTTGCTTCGTAGCATGAAAAAGCAGCTTCAGAAATTTTTTTAATTACGTATTCTGCGATCATTTTTATTTATTAGCTGGTTTTTAATAAGAAACGAATTATCACGCGAAAAGCCGATTACTAAGATTCATTTTACTTGCATTTAAACCGAGAAACTGCAATTAAATTTTTGATCGTCTCTACGTGTGCAATGGCGACTCTATTCAGTTTTTCGAGACTGTTTAATTACGCGGCGAGTAATTATCTGAGAAGAGTGACACCGGTCGCAATTTGCAAGCAATATTATCCTGGTATGTAATTGCAAATAATAAAGCAATAATTATATAGAAATAGTGAGAACATAACCTTTCCCTCGAATGAAATCATAACTCTCTTAATTCTAAAAAGTGGATAAAATAGGAATATTAGTATAAAAACTGTTTATATCTTTATAAAAATGATCAACAACGTTACTTAATTAACTTAACAAACAGATTAAGATAATGTATAGAATATATTAAGATTTTTTTCTAGATACCCTAGGTTAGGTTAAAAGCATCTTTAATTCCATAACTTTTCTGGAGCTCTTCAAAAAGATCTCTCTTTATTAAAAATGTTAATTAAGAAGATTGATATTACATTAAAGTTTTACGATGAAATGTAAAATTTATCAATTTATTTTTATTAATATTATCAGAAATCTTATGTTTAAATAAATTCATATATAAATTATATAAAATTACAAAGTAAGACTTTATACAAATAAAAAAGAAATCTTAAAAAATAATCTTTTGTTTCAGCATTAAGATTATGGGAGACACCAATAGCAGAATATCGAACAGTTAAACCACCATGGATGAAGCCAATTCCAAATTATCAAACAGAGGTACAGGAGTGGGATGAAGAGAAAGAGAAAATTTGCACTGGTTATTAACATAACTTATTTCATATAAATTTAAAATATACAAATGCTTAAAATATACAATTTAATCTTTTAGAAGGGTTTAAATAATATTCTACTTGTAGACGTAACAAATGAAATTAATGATCAAATTGCAATGGATAGGATCGGACGAATGTTTGCAATCATACAAGTATGTGGAAAACAATTCAAAGTGACAGAGCACGATCTTATAATCATTGAGGGATTCTGGCCACCAAACATTGGTGATCAATTGAAACTGGAGAAAGTCTTGTTGGTTGGCAGCAAAGACTTTACTCTTATAGGCAGACCAATTCT